ATTTATATAAGCATATGTGTGTGAGTGTGTGTGTGTCTGTGTGAGTGTGTGTGTGAATGTGTGCGTGCGTGTATGTGAGTGTACTAAAGATATATTTACAAGATGCAAGAACGTTCAAAGATATTTTGAATGTTAACCGACAAGTAAATAAAAACAAAAGCATTATATATATATGTGAATAAAAAATATACGTAATGAAATAGCAATATACAACATATATATATTATCAATGAATAAATATATATTAAATATATATTATGACAAAACATAATTTTGATGTCACTGCAGTTATAACCGCGTTATCAGTAGTAAGACTACAAAGTATAATTTGCATTAGAGTTAGTAGAGACATTAAGTGCAAACAGTAGTAGTAGCAAGCAGTAGTAGTAGTAGCAAGCAGTAGTAGTAGCAAGTAGTAGTAGTAGCAAGTAGCAGTAATAATTATGTAATGAACATAATGAAGATGCGACAGTATGATGCATATAACCAGTACAAAGCGTTTAGTGTAGTGTTAGTATGGCAGAGGTGGAGACGTTTGACATAATGTGCAATAATATGTAACACTTTGCTGGCACCAATCCAACAGAGCAGAAACATCAGTTGATGATGGATGAGTTCTTTCAACCAGCCAACCTGGCACTCAATCAATCATTCAATCACTCTGACATTAAATTAGAACCACTCAACAGGGTTGGCGATTGCGTTAAAATCATGATCAAAACCAACCAAAATCAATCACTCAGTCAGCCAAACATTGGTCCGGTGCCTGAGTGCGATGTCCTATCCCCGAGGTCGAGATCGGATAAGGTCAGAAGGTCAGTTTGGAGACAGTCAGCTGATGCCGTCGCCATGGCAATGTCTGGCATGGTGGTCGCTAGTAGTTGTTGTTGCGATGATGGCGGTACTGTTGTTGTTGTAATGGATGTGTTGTTGTTGTTCATGAGCACTTTGTTGTCGTGGTTAACCTGTGGAAAGCATTTATTGTCAATCTTTTAGCGATTCCTCTATAATTTTACAACTGTGAACGTGGTCTTTCTAGAGGCTTTAATCAAAACGAGAAATAAATATTTGTACATATCACCAAATCTTTTAAAGTTACGCTTACAGATAAGTAGTATAGCACACATCCACACACACGTGCAAATACACACATTACATACATACACACAACGTACACATACACAGTCTCATCCACATACCTATACACACACACACGCACACACACGCACATACACACATACAGAGATACATCGACACATACGTCTAGTCTCCTAGAGCATGATGAAGCGAGAATGCCGGCAGACGACGACGAAGACGACGACGCAGCACCTTCAGGACTGTGCAGTGACTGGAAGAAGAGAGACCTGAAAGAGAAGCGAGATGATGACGTCGATGATGTCGACAGCGACAGAGGCGCTCGAGAGTGCTGCAGACAGAAGTTTCCTCGTCGAACGGGAGTCAGGTGACACGATGATGTCATCATTCCAGTGGAGGATGAGGAAGAAGAGGAAGAGGAAGAAGTAATTAATTCTTTTGACTGTTGGCTCTGAGGTTGTCTGCTGCTGCTGCTTTTGTTATCTGAAAATAATTTAGTGATGCTTGGCCGTTGAATACAGCCAAAGAAAAAGTCTTAGTTGAGAGACTGTTATAAAATTTAACATCAATTTCAACTAATTAACAAAAACGATAGAAGAAAGAGAATATGAAACAAACCTAAAAAAATTGTAACAACAAAATATTTAAAAAACCTTCAACTCCAAATGAGTGAAATACAAAATAAAAAAAAACAGCACGTGAAAGCAAACAAACTTGGTTGTAGCTGGAAAGGATGCAGACCGACCATAGGAGGCCCGTGAAGAATTTCAATAGTGGAGTCAGGTAGTCCAAACTCCCTAACCACCCTCAACCTGATCTGCTTGATGACCTCTGACCTGTCAAAACTACCCGCCAGAAAATTGAAACTTGTACCTCTGAAATCAAATGCCCCAAGAGATGTAGAGTAGGCTCTTTGAGCAGACTTGCTGTTGGAGAGCTCTGATTCTCGGCGTTTCATCTCTTCTACTATTGTTCGATCTGGCACTTTAATGATTAAATTATTGTTATTAAAGTTATTATTGTTATTTATTATTATTATTAATTACTATCATTTATGATGAATGGAATGAAACAGATGAATGGAATAAATAAAAATAGTCCGACCCATAACGGATGAAGACTATAAACGAGGATTGATTAATTACTATCATTGATCTTCAATTAAATTCAATTATCCAATCAAAAAATTACTCAACATAGAAATACAAAAAATAATCAAACAGGGAATGGTGCCAGCAATGATATCGACGGTTGATGACGAAAATGACCACTGTTTGTGGAGCTTAGGAGTGTAGACATGGTCATCTAGCATGTAGAGGGCATCGGGGACGGCACAGGTGTGCACCACTCGCATGTGAGTCAGTTCACTTGCGCTCCCACTCGAGTTCTTACAGTCGGGAGACAATGCCGACTCGAAACTCTTCAAACTCTGCTCTTTCACTATAGACTGGCCAAGTGGCATAAAAAAATATTTAAAAAGATAGTGAGTAAATTGAAGTTTGAAGATGTTTAAAGCTGGCAATAAGTTATGAAAACAATCAACAAAACGAAAGGTTTGCTCACAAAATAAAAATTGTTTCAACATAAATACAAACATATTTGAGTGGTTAACATAACCAAAAATAAATTTATGAACACATCAAACAAAAAAAAAGCTGGAATTAAAATTAAGCTGTATAAAAAATAAGCCAATCAGCAGACGGAACCTTAATCTCGTCATAGTAAGGCGTGAAGAGTCTTGGTCTTCTGTAGGCTCCGATGTGTCGAGTTTTGACCCAGCAAGAGGCAGATGACAGGTTGTTCTCTCGACAGGAAGGCCAGTGAATGAGACCTCGTTTGATGGCGGACACGACTATCTCGTTGTTCGACGGGATGAGGTGCTCGACTCGAATGTGTGGTAAAACATCGGAGAGGATGTCGCGCAAATCTGAATCGTTCAGATCTCGCTTCTTAACTCCTTTCTTACTTACACTGTGCGCTGTATGGCTCAGTAGGTTAGGCTCTGTGGGAAATAAAACAGGATGAAATATTCTGAAACTGAAAATTAAATGATCTAATGTTCTTAAAAAACTCTAATTTCAAACGTATTTCATTTAGTATGTGTATGTCTATGTTAAATGTAGAAATAAATCAAACAAACTTTAAAGCATAAAATGATCAGTTCTTGTTTTGTAAAGATGAAAAGAAAACTATCTCAAACAAAAACAAATGAATGAATTTTTGTGATATCAGAAACTGCATAAGAAAAATTAGGAAGAATTAACGAGTTGATGATGTGTTTAGATAGAAGTTGGTAAGCCAATAAAACATCAGTGCAAAGAAATTAAATCTGGTTATTCAAAAATCTACATGTACTACATTTGTACATACATGAATAATAATGCTAATGGTAGAGATGATCGTATAATAACTGAGGCACTATAAAATTTTTATGGCTTATTTAAAATTTAGAATTTAAATAGGTGTCACATGCAAGGTTAACATGTTTATAAACTTTGAATTGTGGTAATGTTAATAATACATGAGGCCAATAGAAAAAATGCTGTTATCTAGCATTGAGATGTGTTTCTTTTTTTAATTCATTTCATTTTAAAATATATTCCAAAATAAAAAAAACTATTTTTTCTTTATAAACTCAACACATCACATGAATGGGAATAAAACCAAAAACTATAAAACTAATAGGAAACAGTCACCTTGTTCTTCGATTCTCTTGATAAGTCTGTGCTCTCCCCACCTGACCACTGCCGATAAGACATCAAGCTCACTCGCCTGACAATCATTATTGGTGTTTCATAAAATTATTTTAAATTCATAATTTTAAAAACATGAAAAAGTTATGTATAAATAAGAACGACTATCACGAGAAATAATTATTAAAAATATAAATGTAATTTTAATAAAATGAAATGCGAGTGCTGAAATAACTAGAAGAAAGTAACAAGGTTAACCGTATTGAGAACATTTGCTGAAATCTAATGACATTGATGGAGAACAATCTACATTAAAATGGTAAAAAAGATTGTTGGCAGTAGAAATGTAGGTACCTGCAAGAAATCAGATCTGACAGCTTCCAACAAGTAGGACTTATCAAGTGAGAGAAAAGAATTAGAAGATAATGAAGATGAAGAAGATGACGACAACGATGATGAGGACGATGAAGACGACGAGGAAGATGAAGATTGCACAAATTGTATGAACTCTTCTAGAAGATAGTTCGTGGCTTGTCTATGAATCCATGTGGAACCATGTGGCTGACTGCTCCAATGCAACACTGGCAATAAATTCTCCACTGTCAGAAGCTCAGCTATTATGTCTTCACAATCTGCATTATTCAGATACACAGCTATCAATCAATCGATCAATCAATCTATCAATCAACCGATCAATTAACCGATCAATCAACCAATCAATCAATCAACCAATCAATCAACCAATCATTATATCAAAAAACTAACCAACCAATTAATCAATCAATCAGTCAACCAATTAATCAAACAATTATTAATTAACTCCATTTCTCAATACAAATTCAAAGATGTTTGATAATTAAAACAAACCTATTCAATACAGTTAAAAGAGATACTACATATCTCTAATTAAGGATTGTTTAACCCTTGAAATAAAACACAGCAGCACTAAACCAAGCAGAGCAAAAAAACAGACAAAAGAATACATTAAAGAATTATTCAATACGGTTGCCAATAGGATCAGAAAAGTGATCAATAACAGCCAAATCAGATAAAATAAAAAAATATATATAAAAAACCATTAGAAAACAGAGTATTCATACCCAGCAGACATGCAAGACCAATCAGTAACAAGAAAAAAACATACACAGCAGTATAAACAACCAAACAAATGAACATTCACTGCCAAAAAACATTCCTATACACTTACAAGGTTATAAAAAAAAGTTTTACTTGCCTCAACTTTAACTTTTCAAAGTATAAAAAAAAACCATAGTAGCAGATATTAACAGCCATGATAGAGATAAGGAAGACTTAGTAACAAATATCTCTAGTCAACGTTTTTGGTCACACACAATGGTGATTTTATAACATCATGATCTTTGTAGTCCTCATATTATATATTTTATTATCATTATTTTAAAAATACCATTTATTATTATACTGCTTATAATAAAGTACTTTAAGCTGATTCTATTGAAAATAATTTACAAAAATTTCAGTTAAGGATGCAAATAATTGCTTGTTGGTATAAATTAGGTATTTATAGTTTAAAATTATTTGTTAATTAAATAATTAGTATACATTAGTGAACCATAATAACTAATTATAACACTAATAATATAATTATCTCAGCTAATTATAACATTAATAATATAATTATCTCAACTAATTACCTCAACTCACTTAGATTATCAATTACATTACTGTCATTATTTTCATCAACACCTAATATTAATAAGGATTGGTTAATGGCCAGAATGGATAGGCATACAAATAAAATGATAAATAATAATAAACCATTTAGAGACCAATCATATGAAAAAATGCATAAAATAAATTATATGTAATAATAATAATTGATAAGAATAACATAATAAATGTGAATAATAATAAATAATGCAATGAACAAAAATAACTTTGAGCAAGAGCGGGAAAATCAATGAACTGGCCAATGTGATACAACTCCATGGCATCATCAACGAATGATGGATGTAACTGTGGTGCAGTTGATACTGAAGAGGACGCTGGTACGGCGTAGGTCGGTTGAGATGATGATGATGATGAAGGAAGCAATGGTGAGAACAAATGAGTGCCTCTGAACTGAGATGTGGGAGATGTAACTTCACTGGTCTGTTGTAACAGTCTGTTATGTAAGTTGTTTAAATCAACCTGATCCTGATAGACAGCATTCAGGAGAATCCTTGCAAAACGAGATGGAATAACAGATTCATCCAGTAAGATAATTGTCTTCCTTTGGTGGAAGTTATATTCAGAACATTGTTTAATTTTGTTGTCAAGATTGTGCATTGATGTTTCGGAGCGAGTTCGTCTTGTGATTAAATTTCTAAAAAATGGAGACCTAGCTGCTAGTATGGCCTTGTGACATGGTAAATAAACTTGATTAGCAGGATCAGACATCTGTGAATGGTACTGGTGGTGAGGATGTTGTTGGTGAGGTGATAAAGCGATCGGGGAGTAACAAGAATATTGGTTGTTTATTCCTGTTGAAAATGTCAGCACTGCGTCAGAGAACATTCCAGTTTCTAACAAAATTTTCAAATCGTGCTCTAATGAATTGGGTGCCCCGAATTCAATGGATAGTTGTGATAAAACGGGCTTCAACCTGCTCAAACTGGGTCCATCTAATCCAAAATCACCTGTGTAGAGATACTTCAAAAGTGCAGAAAACAAGGACCCATCAATCCCCTCTGTTTTGACACAAACTTCAACTTTCACTTTTGGTACATTCATTTGGTGACTAAGAAGGTCCCTGAAAAATGCGCATCTAGCACATAAAATGGCTTTATGGGCCGGATAAACTACCCCCAAGTACACCAAGTCAACATCAGAACAATATTTGTTCTGGTACAACAAAGCTAAATCATCAACTATTGTATTGCCACTAGCCCTGGCCAAGTTGGCCATAACGAACAATTCCTTCATAGCAACCATGTTGTCATATTCATCGGCCAATGAGTGTATTTCCCGAATGGACCACGTCGAAATCAAATCTCTCAAATGTTTGGCATAATCATAATTTCGGCTGTGACGTCGAGTTCTTAGTAACTTTTTACGCAAAGTTGTAAATTTGAAAGCTCGCTTCTTTTTGTCCCTAGAAACGGAAGCGTCATAATCTCCTCCGGAACTGAAAAAATGACGGCTGGAGGGCCGACCGCTCAACTTATCAGTGGATATTGTTGTCAAATTTCCACCCATTGAAAAGACAAATGTTCGAAAATATTAAAATTGCTAAATTAGTCGCGAATCAAATGAACGTTTGATTGACACGGCAATTAAATTTATTTTTCATTATACAAAAAATATATTTCAGTATAAGAAAAACAAAACTCTAATATATTTTTAATGAGAACGTAAACAAATGGCGGACATAAGCAAGAGGAGGAGGAGGAGGAGGAGGAGGACTAGAGTAGATTCCATCTCCACTAGGATCACTTGGTTGGTATGAACAAAGTTAATGCGAATGTTTCTTAAGATATATTATCTACATATAAGTAGAATAATCCATATATTATTAATTATTTAAATATAATACATTGATGTGATTAATGATACAATTATAATATTATTCTATTTATATATGACACCATGTACCAACTGATACTGTCATACATGTATTGATTCGAATTATTATACGAACAAATACTACATGCCATGTGATAATCATTTCCATTCTGGAGGTATGATAATTTCTGAAATATTCTGCTTCATGTACCTAGCTAACTAATCTCGAATACGTATTTCTTCAAAATTTGTCATATTGGAATAACTTCTGCGTTACAATATCATTTAAATACAAATCCATAAAGTGAATCATCTTTAATTTGTGTTCTTTCTAAGCAGAGGCAGATCTAACTAACTTTGATGGGGTGGGCCATTTTAAAAATGTTTAAATATTGAAATTTGATGGAAAGGCAAGGAACTAACCAGATTGGTACTAGTGTGGCTAAAACTTTTTTGGTTCAACAAGCCAATTTTTGGTCGATTTTTGTCTAAAAAGTGAATTTTACTGAATTTTAAAAAATGCTCACAATGAAGAGCCATATTCTCAAAAATCGATAAATTTTAGTGCATAATTATAACTGGTCGGTCGATTCAACATGAAAAATGTTATATCAAAAACGTCGAAATTTCCAATACATTTCCATGCTCATGTAATTGAGTACTACGGGAATCTAAGGCCTAAACTTATTCATTATACACCCGGCTACAAACCTATATATTTGATATTTTAACCATCGGATATCACACAAACTCTAACCGATGGAGATCTCTGCTCCGATATATTGGATTTTTAACATCTTGTAATGTTTGTTAGAGCAACGATAGGGCAAATACTTATAGCATGGCAACTTCGATAATTTCTCAACTTATTTTGTGTCTTCCGGATTTGTCGGTTTAGTTGAACGTTTGTTCCGTCTGGCTCTGGATTCGAAAGATATTATTGAAGTTAACATAAGTCATCATTCATCCTTTGGTCATATTAGTATACAGTTTTAATATACTTATATGTACAGTACCGTGTAATCATTTCTGAAATATATTTATAAAAATTATAAAGTTATCTACTGATAGAATAACTACTTTAAATAAATTTTTGTCAAAAACAAATGAAGAAAATTGATGAAAAAACGAATGTACCATATAGAAATGTGATACGTAATGATTAGAAAAAAATGAAGCTGCTAGAACCAGCGCAACTGAACGTGGCAGTGTTGCGCGTGCGCACATCCGGAGATATTTTACGTGGAATCGACCGACGTATGTAAAAATAATTTTCACTAACTAACTCCGCTATTTAATTAGGGTACCCCAGTCGGATTGAACCTTTTTTATCGGATACGTTTGCCCTTTCGCTGAAGTCTCTCGCAGTAAGGTTACTTAGATTATTTTTTAAAGTTAATGCAATGTTTACATTTTTTTGCCTTGAAGCAAACATGCTGGAACTGTGTACTGTACAGTTCAGTGCATTAATTTGGAATAAATTATTAATTAAGTTATTAATTTAATTATTGCGTTCTGTCAATCGCTTCATTCAAGTTCAAAATAAATAGAAGTTTATTTGATTACTCTGTCCAGGAGTCAGCGAGTTAGTCCGAGATGTCATCACAGTTTGTTAATGGACAGCCCCAGGGGCCCCCTCAGCCTGGCTACCGCTTTCCATCGGGCCCCCCCAATCCTTCAGGTACATCCATATTTAGTTTAACATTTGAATTTCAAGCTTAAGACATTGATAATGCAGTTAATTTCAAATTCCAAACATCTTTCAAATAAGTCTAATTAATTATTAAATATTAAAGATTAAAAAAAGTATAATGAAATGTAAAGAAATCTCTTTATTTGGAATAGAGATTCTACATAAATGTACAATTGCATTATATGATTATATTATAAGCATCTAACAAAATTTTTTATTTGTAGATCCTTTCTTTAATCCTCAAGTGCTTAACAAACCATTCCAACCAGGACCTCCTGGTGGACCCAATCATTTCAGGTTCACTTTTGAATTTGTCTCTTATGGGTTATACTGTATGACTAAATTTCAAATATTTTTACATTCAGTATCTAAAATGTTATAATTATATTCTAATAAAAATAAATCAAACTTGTGATTGTTAATCAACTAGAGATGATGTATGTAAAGTTATATAGATTTATCAATAGATTTATCTATTTTTCATTATTATAGCAACAATTTAATAAACCATTCACTTAATTTGATTCAACTTTCTTGTATTGGTACAAGTTTGGCTGAATGGGATGGTAATAATGAAAATAATTCAGTCTATTAATTTTGATGTAATGTTGGTTTAGTTAATGTGCAGATTTTATTTTTCATATATAGTCATGGTCCCGTAGCACCCTCACCAAATCAGTTTGGTCCTCCTGTTTCAAGTGGACCTCCCCCTACTAAACCATTTAATTCAAATCAGGTGGGTATCAGTCACACACACACACATATATAGATGTATAACTACATATATGTATGTTTTTTTTCTTTATACATATATGGCCAAAATTATTCATCAAGTTATATATAATGGTCTTTCTTAGCTTTTTTAATCAGGAGTTTTTGATAAGATTCAAAATTACAACATTGGATCAATAAAATATTTTTATATGAATTTTAATGACTAATGACTATTAATTGTGTGATTCAGTTGGCTTCAGACATGAACCACATGCACATCAGAAGTTTCGCGGGGGCTCCTTACCAGCAAGTTTGTAACATTTATATTCATATTTATTGTTGTTTTCATAAATTATTTTTGAATTAAGCATCTTTGGTTTTGAATATTTGGAAGGATGTTTTTAATGAATTTTTTTGTTATTACTCATTCAGCCCCATGTTGGCCCACCACAAATGCATGCACCCATGCATGGACTTCCACCAACGTCGTCACACCATGCTTCTCTACAACCACCACCAACACAACATCTTTCTTCAATGCATCCCTCATCACATCCTCCTCCTCAACACCAACAGCCATCGATGGGTCCACCTGGTCCACCGCAGCTTACATCGCTGGGCCCACATCAACCTGATCCATCACAACATCCATCGATGGGCCCGCCGCCACCTGGTCCTTCACTGCATCCATCAATGGGTCCGCCACCACAACAGCTGTCAATGGGTCTGCCACAACAGGGCCTACCTCCACATCAACAGCAACCTCCATTTGGCCCACCCCAACAACAGCCATCGTTTGGTCCACCTCCATCATCGCAACAACATCAGATGACTGGGCTACCACAACCACCAACACAGTTTCCAGCACAACATCAGCAGCAACCACAACACTCATCCCAGCTACCTTCTGGGCCTCTCATGACAGGTCAGCCATCAATGGGAGGTCCTCCTCCGATCACATCGATCAGAGACACCCCCCCTTCTTTTCCCACTCAACCACCAACAGGTCCACAGCAGCATCAAATGCCTCCTCCTCCTTCATCCTCTGTGGCACCCCCAATGAACCAATTTGGTGTCAGACTTCCACCACCATCATCATCATCTGGTCCCTACAATCAATCTTTTGGAAGTTTACCGCCATCTCATCTTCTGCCTCTGCCATCGTCATCACAACACCAACATCTTCCCAATGCATACCCAGATGGGAATCCACCACAACAGCAACTCTATGGAGCTCCACCACCACTGCAGCAGCAACCAGGCAGCAACTTTCCTTCTTCCAATTATCCTGGACAACCACAGGGTGGGTATGGTGGACCAACAAATCAATTTGGTGGACAGGGTCCCAAGCCCCAACAACCTTTCATCAATCAGCCTGGCCCCATGGCACAACCAGCTCGAAAACTTGACCCCGATCAAATGCCAAGCCAGGTAAATGTTGATGTGTTTTCTGTCAGTTGGTCATATGTTGCATGAATGGTATTAGTTATAACATGTTAAAATGATGTTGCTACTCAGTTAATTTATGTGCTTCACAATTAATCGGTTTAATTTTTTCAAAACTTTGTATGCCTTGTTATTATTGTGTGTTATTCATTTGAAGTCACTTCAACATTCATAACATGCGTAATGTGGATAAAGTTTTATATGTTAAAATCAAATGATTGTTGTCGTGTGAGAGAATCATTAACATATTCATATGAAAATTTATATTGATGTTTCATGAATAAATGTTAGTTTTAATGTCCTGCATTACAATTAATCATCATTATGCTTTTTCATTTGACAAAACTTATTAGATTTTTAGTTATTTATTCACCATAACTTCTACATGCATTATAATCATTCACCTGTTAATTCATTCATACAATCATTCACATAACATATTTGGCTGATTGCCAATTGTTTCTGTTTAGATCCAAGTGTTGGAGGATGATAAGTTGAAGAACAATGGTGTTTATGTGACAGGGCAGAGAGGATCTGTGCCTCCCCTGGTCACCAGTAACTTCATCGTTGATGATCAAGGTTGGTCGGCTGTTTGGTCATTCATTTGATTAGTTGATTGATTATTAAATTGGTTGATTGGTTAGCTGGTTGCCTGGCTAACTAGCTTGTGGCCTGCTTCGTTGCCTTGTCAATTATTCAATAATGAATTTCTTAGTTGATTTTTTGATTAATCCTACAATCATTTAATCAGCCACTTGTTCACTAGACTAATTTTTCTTTCAACCTATCATTTACTCATTCATTCATTCATTCAATTAGCCATCCATTTACACATCATTAATGCCTAAGGATTATGCAGTCCTCGTTTTTTGCGATCGACCATGTACAACATCCCCTGCACCAGTGACCTCCTAAAACAAAGTCATCTGCCATTTGTTGTCACCCTCTCTCCATTTGCTAAACAAGATCCCCAAGAGGTCTGTATCTGTCTGTATGTCTGTGTTACAGATTAGGATGATCATCATGATTGTCTTTCATAATTTTCAAACCATTCCACCCACTCAGAACAAGCCCCCGATTGCAGACCTCGGACAGATGGGCCCACTGAGGTGCAACAGATGCAAGGCCTACATGTGCCCCAACATGATGTTCATCGACGGAGGGCGAAAGTTTCAGTGCTGTTTCTGTAGCTGCACTACTGAAGGTGGCTGGCTACTTGTGGTGACGATGATGGTGGTGTGGCGATGATGGCGGTGATGATGGTGGGATGGTGGTGATTTCAGGTTGATGATTGCTGTGATGCTTATGATGATGAATGATGTTTGTGGCAATGATTATGATGAGAAAAATGATTATGTTAATGATAGAAGAAGAGGATGGTATTATTGATTAGTTGATAGCAGATTGTGAGAGCGACGACTATGATGATGGTGATGCTGTCATGATGAATAGATGTAAAAATATGTATAGTAAGGTTCACGATAATTAAGACGGTGATGTTAAGAACGTAATGAAGCTGATGGTAGTAAAAGTTACACTTGAATGATTATGTTTTAAAAACTTGATTTACCCACCAACCACATAATAAACAGTGCCCCCAGAATACTTTGCACACCTGGATCACACAGGTAAGAGGATTGATTGTTTTGAGAAACCTGAACTATGCCTTGGTGCTTATGAGTTCGTTGCCACGGCTGATTACTGTAAGGTGTGTTAATGATTCTGTCAAATTTCTATTTTCTAGTACTTCTCATCTTTGTTCAGTTTATTAATTTATACTTTTTAATTTGCTTATTCCCAAATAGTAAGTAGCTTAATTAAATTCAATTTCATTGTGGCCTACTGCAACTGTCGTTTCTATTTTGTTTTTGTTTTTCTACTGCCGCTACTGCTACCACACAAGCCACTCCTACTTCTTCCTTTCTAACTTTCAACATCTGATAAACGAGCAAGTGAGCAATGCTCTGACTATCCCACCAAACAATCCACCACCATCACAACACTGGCACAACGCCACAGGACAACAAGTTGCCACAGGCACCGGCCTTCATTTTCATGATTGATGTCTCCTTCAACAGTATCAACAGTGGTCTCATCAACCTCCTCTGCACGAGATTGAAGGAAGATATACTAGCCTATTTACCCAAGTATGTGCTGTGTTGTCGTCGTTGTTGTCGTTGTTTGTACTGTTTTGTTGTTGTTTGTACTGTTTTGTTGTCGTTGTTTGTACTGTTTTGTTGTCGTTGTTTGTACTGTTTTGTTAATATTCGTAATTTAATAAATTTTTTCCAATTTTTTTTGTAAAGGTTGTAAATGTTTCTTTCTCATAAAAGCTAATATTTGTTTCCATCTTTGTAGTTTAGCTGGCTGGTTGGTCGGTAGCAGTCCTTTTATTTATGCTTGTTTTTCTACCTTGCTACTTATGAGGCATGAATGGTGTTAACAAATGTTTGAGAAAATTAATATCAATAATAGTTTAACATAATAACAGCTTTATTATTAATAACAATATTATTAATGATATTATTGAATAATAATTAATTTACAAATGATAATAAAAGGGATGAAGGTGATGAAGAGTCAGAAGTCAGAGTAGGTTTCGTAACATACAGCAATGAGCTGCACTTTTACAACATTAAAGTTGGTATATATGCATGTAGATCTGTATGTATGTATATGTGTGTTTGTATCTGTATGTGTGTGTGTGTATTCTGTTTTGTTTGTGCTACTGTGCTATTGTGAGTGTATTGTTGCTACTATTAGGATGATGCATAGAAGATGTTGATGATAACGACAATAATTACGATGACACCTCACCAACCCGTCACCAGAACAATCTAGTACAACCGCAGATGTTGGTTGTGACGGACATGAACGATGTTTTTGTACCACTTGTCGACGGATTTCTCGTTAAAGTATCAGAAGCTGAAGCTATTGTTGATTGGTTAGTTGGTTCGTGGGTTGGTTTGTTTGTCTGCTAATTGGTTAGTTAGTTGGTTGGTTGATGAATTAGTTACCAATCGGTAATAGGGTTAATTGTTATTGGAATTTTAAGCTATATTGAATGTAAGATTGGTTTGATATTGGTTTCATTACATAAATTTAGGTGCCTACTCCTAAATTTATTTAAAACTTGACTGGTTATACTTCATATTATGATTATTTTGCTGATATTATCTATTTTCCTTCTCGATACAGCCTTCTAGCACAAATCTGGTCAATGTTTTCCAACACCTGTGAGAAGGAGAGTGTGTTGGGTCCAGTCATTCAGGCCGGTCTGGATGCTTTGAGGTCAGCAGAACGTTCAGGCAAGCTCATCATCTTCCACAGTTCCATGCCCACTGCTGAGGCACCTGGAAAGTTGAAACATCGAGAAGATAAGAATCTGCTGGGATCTGAAAAGGAAAAGGTTCCAAATCTTAATTTATATCTACTGGCTTTTTAATGTCTTAACTATGTTTCTCTTTAAATAATAATAACGTTGACTTTTTGCAAATCTTTCATTTGTGAAATTGTAAATTGCAGACTCTCTTGACTCCACAAACAAACTTCTACACAAAGTTGGGCCAGGAATGTGTGAGTGCAGGCTGTTCTGTTGACATATTCCTCTTTCCCAACATGTATGTAGATGTCGCCACAATATCTGAAGTACCCAGGCTGACTGGAGGCTCCTTATACAAGTACAACTATTTCAAGGTACAACTTGTTGTTGGGTTGTTGTACATGGGTGTGGTAGTTGCTTGAATGTAGGAGCGGTTTGGTTATTGTTTTCTGCGATTGATGCTTATCCTTTGTTAGTCAAACGCATAACAAATCAAGTACTTACTTCTAGCAATGAATCAACGTAATGATGATGATGCTGCAATTTTAATTGAAGGCTGACACGGATGGAGAGATGCTGATGAGTGACCTGCGCACGAACATTTCTCGTCAATTTGCATTCGATGTCGTCCTTCGGCTGCGAACCAGTCAGGGAATCAGGGCGGTAGACTTCTTTGGCAATTTCTTCATGTCCAACACGACAGACGTTGAACTTGCCAGTCTAGACAGAGACAAGACGATATCCATCGAGATACGACATGACGACAAGTTGACTGAAGCAGAAGGGGCTTATGTACAAGCCGCCGTGTTGTACACCAGTGTTGGAGGTAGGAGGAGGCTGAGGGTTCTGAACAGTTCGTTCAATTGTTGCACACAGGTCGCTGATCTGTTCAGGAGTTGTGAGCTGGATGTTATCATCAACTTCTTCGCTAAGCAAGGTTTTTATAAATCTTTGAGCATTAAATTAAATCGAAACTGATTTAAACATCCACTTGTTCTATTATTCATTAGCTCAATTAATTAATAAATTAAGCTAATGAATAAACCAACGTAGCTATTCGGGAGTCACTGAACACAAGTGTGAAGCAAGTACGTGAGCACCTGACGAACCAATGTGTCCAGATACTTGCCTCGTACCGCAAAAACTGTGCAACCCCATCTTCATCCGGTCAGTTGATCCTGCCCGAGTGCATGAAGTTGCTACCTGTCTACATCAACAGTCTCATCAAGAGTGGCATCCTACAAACTGGTCTGTCCTGCATCTCTAATGTCAACTGCACTGCTTTTGTTGTCTTTTTATCTTATTTTCTTGATATGTTAAAAGATTTAATGAATATGATGTATGCATTGGTTAGGATATTATTGTATTATTCGTTGCTGCTATTATTGTATTATGCATTGTATTATGCATTGCTGCAGAGAACATAAACGTTGACGACCGCAGTTACTACATCCACCTGGTGAACAGCATGAGCATAAGTGGCACTGTGGCTTACTTCTACCCTCGCCTCATACCTCTGGTACGTCCAACCTTCATTTCTTTCCCAACTATTTTCATTATACCTGCTGCTAACTATTCTATATTATGCGTAAAATCATTTTCGCTTCATGAGGCATGCAAGCCTAATTTTCTAAACTTACATACCAAATGACACCACTCGAAAGCTGGATATAGATGTGGATGACACGAGCCTACCACATGCGATCAGGTGTTCCAGCGAAAGACTGAAGGACAATGGAGCTTATTTGTTAGGTTGGTAGCTTTTCAGCCGTTCACTGCTTCGACTGTTAGTAACGGTTCACTAAATTTGCAACTGTTCATTTTATCTTTTCTTTTTGTTCAGTTTTATATTTTTGTAATATTTCAGAAAATGGTTTGGTGATATTCTTGTGGGTTGGTCTGTCTATCAATGCCGAGTGGATTCAACAGGTCTTCGGTGTTCCATCTGTTGCACAGATCGACATTGATAAGGTAGGTTTGTGTGTGCGTGCATGTGTGTGTGTGTGTGTAGCATCATGTTTGTGTGTGTGTTTATCATGAATAGCAATATATTTATGTATCAATGTAACATTTTATCGTAGCAATTATGTATATTGTTGCATCGTAAGAATTCTATTATTAAATAAATATTGTTGCGAATGTAGACGAAGCTACAAGATTTGGACAACCCCGTATCAGTGAGAGTCCGTGGCATGGTGAGGATGATCAGGGAGGAGAGGAACAGATACATGAAGGTAGGCTTTCCAGCTGCTACAGTTGATGTTGTTTTCTTTACAATCAATTAATCGCTATCTACCTACCTACCTATCTGCTCACCCACCCATCTACCTACCTACATACCTACCCAACTACCTATCCACCACTTACCTACCCACCAACCTACCTAACGTTTAACTATTCATTCACCATCATCCAGTTGGTGATAGTACGACAGAGGGACAAGCTGGAGCCAGTGATGCAGATGTACATGGTGGAGGATCGCACGCCTCTGATCAACTCCAGCCTCACCTACGTTGACTTCCTATGCCACATACACAAGGAGATTAGGAATATACTACTCTGATCGACTTATTTAATGATTGGTTGTTTCGTTGATTGATTGATTGATTGATTTATTGATTGGTTGATTACATTTCAATGGATGTTTATAGGTACAATGTGTATGTGTAGTTATTACAAATTCTTTACATAAAGTTGTAGCCCATTATATTTCTATCTTGTATCCATATATGTTCAACTTTTGTTTATATATAAATAAAAATACTTTATTCAAATACACACAGTAAGTTATTTTTAAATTTTGTTTAAAAACTGTCAAAATTATCTGGCTGAAATAGTTATAATTATGATGACGACGACGATGATGATGGTGATAATGATGACAATGATGATGGTGATGATGATGACAATGATGGTGGTGGCGATGATGATATGATGGTGATTATTGCTAGTTATGATTATGACTACCTGTTGCATGTGTATTGCTGGCGTTAGATTGAAATAATTACAAATTGGTTGACTGATTGATTGATTGATAAACAATCTTCTCTTTTGTTTAAGCCAACACTAAATGATTTGTTTTAATAAGTCAGAAAGAATGTTTATGAATATTTATTTCATTTGTTTCGTTTATAAACGCCAGCAAGTATATATATATATATATATATATATATATATATATATTTCTATTTAATTTCTTTGTTAGTTAGTAGTTCTGGCTGGCTGGCTGAAAATGATAAATAATGTGGTGGTCAAATTGTACAGCGGACGATAATTGCATGCCTAGGTGTAGTCGTTTTCGTTGAGGCATTCTATGGTTGCTTCGCTTCATTTGATGACAATAAATTATTTTATTCTATTCTTTTAATCTAGTTACTTTTCATTGGATAAAACTGAAGAAGTGTCCAAATTGGATGAGTGTCCAAGATGTCTAATTGGACATTGAATGGATAAATTAGTTCACTGGTGGTTTAATGATTGATTCATTCAATCAATCAATCAAACGAAGAAATGGATGAACGACTGAATGAAAACAAATGGACGAATGAATGACTGATTAAATGAAACAAGTGGATGAGTTATGAAAACAATAAAAATAATAGAACATAAAGGATGTTACTTTTTTCCATATACAAAGCAATGAATCAAGTCTTTAGATGAATGATTTCTTGAAATAACATTCATTCATTCAAAATTCATTCATTTATCCATTCATTCATTCACTCGCTCATTCTTCCATACCCCATATAGGATTATATATTTCACAAACGCCATAATATGCTATATATATATATATATATATATATAATACATATATATATATATATATATATATACACACAATATATTTTAATTTGGTTTCGTCTCGTTATTATTATTGACTTATTGTTACGGTTATTTATTCTTACCACTATTATTGTTATTATCACTATTATTGTTGTAGTTTTTATTATTGTAATTTTTGTCTGTAATATTATTGAGTGTCAAAGAAGTATTAAATTATTATTATTATTATTACTATTTGTGTTTATGCTTGACTAAATTTATTTGGATTATATATAAATGTGCATGCGTGCGTGTGTGTACGTACATATATACGTATATAATTTAAGAAATTCGTTAAAAATATTATATTTTCTGTTTATCATTGTGAACTTTGAACTTTGACCGTTAGGGAGGCAAGCTATTTATTAGTTTCATGCTAATTTAATTGAAATGATTTTTATTGTAAAACATTATTAAACTTTTTTATGTTTAATTTTTATTAATTTTATTATTATTATTATTATTGAATTCTCCATATTTCAAATGAATGAATTTCAGATGATGCACATGCATGCATTAATTCATTTAATAATTCATCTGTTTATTTATTCATTCATTTATTCATTCATTCGTTGGTGTCTTTTACTGTAAATAAAAAATGTTCTGATTGACGTTACGATAATGTAATGATGCTTAATAAAATTGTTAGTATCGATGGCTGTTTTTGTTACTGCTGTTCACTGACTGAGGCTGGTCAGTTGACGAACGTACTATGACGTGCCCAGTCTGTCTTCTGTGAGCGTCATCATCATCCGAGAACTAACATCCTTTCCGCGGTTGTAAGCAAAGTTTCATCACTTACGTGGAGTGATTCAGGTAGGTGAGTGAATTCAATTCAGTCGGTAATACAAAATGGAACATCCAGCACAACCCTGCATACCTTAGGAGGAACTGTGAGGACAATCGCTAAGGATTTTTGTCATCGAGACTTGTTAACGAAGAAAAGTTTCTAAAATTATTGATTTATTTGAGTCTTACTTTTTTCATGTTTCCCAACTCTACAACAACAACAACAACAATATATATATATATATATATATATATATATATATATATATATCAAACGATTGATTTTGTTCGATTGATTGGATTGGTCGTTTGTTTAGCTGCTACCAAATTATTTTTTGCTAAAGACAACTGATTGGTTTACTGATTGATTAGTTGGTTGGTTTATTGTTTTATTAATGAAGTCGATGATAGATGAAGTTGGGGAAGTTTTTTTGATTTGCCACTTGCGTTGGTTGTATCATCAATCCGTGCCGGCTGTACGAGTTGTTGAACTTGTTGGTCGGCTGATTAGTTTCATGACTGTTTGATCAATTGATTGGCTGATTGATCGATTGATTGTTTGGGTGGTTGGTTGAGTGCTAGTTGATTGTTTTGGTTGATGATTGGTTAATTAATCAGTTGGCTGATTAGTTGATCGATTGGTGGCTGGTTTGATAGTTGGTTTATTAGCTAGTTGATTGAATGATCGATTGGTTGATTGGCTTAATGGATTCTTGCTGTTTGATTGCTTAGTTAGCTGATTGGTGAATTGAATGTCCAACAACTGATTGGGTTGACTGTATTGTCCTTTTCATTGAACTTGTTAAATGTATTTTATGATGATAATAAATAAATAATTATAAAGAGAAGAGATTTTCTGTAAATCTTTGCAACTTTCAAACAATTTGTCTTGAAATTTTTTAAACCAACCTATTTAATTAAACACTAAAAAAGAATTTTTTTCAGCTAGTTGGTGGCGTGGTAAAAAATTTAAAAGAGAAGATTATATATACTTTTTGATTAGTTTTTTTTCTAGATTAAAATTTAATTTTCTATTGCTGTCTATCTTTTTAATAAAATCTAATCTACTGATTTAAATATTTTTATAAAGTTTTATTTTTAAATAAATTTTTTCGTTTCGTTTTTAAAGAGTTTATTTTTTTTTTTTTTGGTTTTTGTTTCTCGCGCGCTTAGAGTTTGATTGGCAGGTTCCTTTAATTAAACAGTTTTTTCCATCTATTCGTCCATTGGTTAGTTGAATGGTTGGTTGGTTGGCTGGTTAGTTGATTGGTTAGTTGGTTGGATGGTTGGTCGGTATAATTGGTTGGTTGGCTGGTTAGTTGGTTGGTTGGTTGGTTCCTTTAATTAAACAGTTTTTTCCATCTATTCGTCCATTGGTTAGTTGAATGGTTGGCTGGCTGGTTGGCTGGCTGGTTGATCGGTTGGTTGGTTGGTTGGTTGGTTGGGTTGGCTGATTGGTTTTTCAGTTGGCTGGTTGGCTGTTTGGTTTGTTAATCTCAATCATTCAAATGCAAGGCAGCAAGTATCGTTGCATCTATTTTGTCATTTGTCTCAGCTTCCTACTTTATCTGCCCTTCTCAATTAATCAATGGAAGCATCTTCATCATTGTCATCCTTCCCAAAAGAAACAACAATGTGATGATGATGATGACGATGATGATGATGACGATGGTAATGATGATGATTAAGACGGAGATGATGACGACAATGATGAATTATAACTAAAAGCATCAATAACAAAAGCAAAAACTATACCAAGCATAAACCGCTTTGACAACAATTAATACAACAATAACAACTACTACTACTATTACCACCACTATTATTACTGCTAGTAGTAGTAGTAGTAGTGGGAGTAGTATTAGTAGTAGTAGTAGTATAGTAGTAGTAGTAGCAGTAGTAGTAGTAGTAGTAGCATCAGTAGTAGTAGTAGTAGTAGTAGTAGTAGTAGTAGTTGTTGTTGTTGTAGTAAAAGTAGTAGTACAACAAATACAAAAAATAAAATGAACAAAAACGTCACAAGAATTGACAGAATTGAAAATACTTGGCAGCTAGAAAATTGCTGCAAAATCTCTGGAATCAAGCACCGTCGAGTTAATACTTTTTTCGTTCGTTATGACGTAATAAATTATTATTATTACTATTATCATTATTATTATGATTGTTATTATGATTGTTATTATTATTATTGTGATTATTATTATTATTACGTTATAGTCTTCATTGTTTACGCTGTTAATGTTGTTATTATTTATTCCGACGCCTTCACTTTTACACAGTAGGAATGCGTTTGTCTCGTCCTTTGTGTGTGCGTGCGTGCGTGCGTGTGTGCGTGCGTGTGTGTGTGCGTGCGTGTGGGTGCAACATTTTTTTTCCTCTCTTGATCACTATTCAAATTTCTTCAATCATTTTTCCATTTTTATTTTATCCTTCTTGTTCTATATATGTGTATGTGTGGGTGTGTGTGTGTCTTGTTCACTTTTTTTTATACTTTATTGCACAGTTCGTAGTCATCCCTTTTTTGGGTATTTTTTTAATTTTGTTTCAAGTACGAGTTGCCACCGTGTAAGTTGTTAAGCTGCAAACATACTGAAGCACAAACCATAAAAGTGAACAATTATTATAAACAATGAACACGAACAATAATAAATAAATACTGTATAAATAATTATCGAATGTTTATTATTAATATTTTTATAATTATTTTATAATTATCAATAACATCATTACCATCACCACTATCATCATCATCATCATTAGCACCAATAACATCATTACCTTACCATCATCATCACCATCAACATCATCTTAAGCGAAAAGCATTATCCATTATCACGGAAGGAATTCTTTCTGTTGTCGTCGTCATGATAATCATCTCATTCATTCCTCTCCTCCTTCTTTCCTTCAATTACTTCATTGTCATCATCATCATCGTCATCATCGTTACCATCATTATCATCATTATAAGAAAAATCATCGTCATCATCATCATTCATACAAACAGTTTCTTCATTAATATCAGACTTCATCGTCGTCGTCTCCCTCACTTCCACCATTATCATCATCACCGTTATCATTATCATCATCATCACCATCATTATCATCAACGTTAACATTATCGTAATCATCATCATCCTTATCACCATCACCGTCATCATCGTCGTCATCATTTCACAACAACAACAACAACAACAACAACAACAACAACAACAACAAAAAACATTTTTCTTTTCTCGTAGTTCCTTTCATCCGCATTAACATAATCATTATCTTCAGTGGCAAGAGCATCACTTGCAATCACCATCATCGTCGTCATCATCATCGTCGTCATCATCGTCATCATCATTGTCGTCGTCATTACTGCTATCGCCATCTCCTTGCTTTAAATCAACTTCACAGCTTTTGTCGTCGAGGAAACAGTTGTCTTCTTCATTGCTATGAGCATCATCATCATTATCACCAACATCATCACCAACATCATCATCATCAACATCAACAACGTCATCACCATCATCATCATCTTTCTCTTTTTCTTCTCCACTATCATCATCAACGTCATCATCAACGTCATCATCAACGTCATCATCAACGTCATCATCAACGTCATCATCATCGTCATCATCATCGTCATCATCATCATAGTCATCTTTGTCGTCACAGTTTCATCATCAGCATAATGATGACGACGACGACAAAGATGACGATGACGATGATGATGGCCAGTATTAATGCGAAAATAATTAACGACAATGGCAATTAATGATGATGGAATGAGTTAAAAATTTGAATCTTCCACCCCAGCTCCATTCCTACATTAGCCACCCGCTAAATAATTCAGACCATACTACAGGGATTTGAAAGTGGCATTGAAATATTTTCACTCTCTGTGCAATCTCTTCATCGTCATTATTTTCTTTCTCGTCTTGATGTATTTGTATCTGCCTACTTTGTATTTTTAGTATTTTTCTTTGCCTATGTTTATCTGTGTGTATTTTGTATTTGCGTACTTTGTAATGGCGTTCTTTTGTTTGTGTGCGTATTATTATTTGTATATATGTGTGTCGTGTGTTGTTTTCTATAAAACTTGTTTTGTTTTGTTTTTTATTAAAATAATTTGTTGCGCATTTTGTTTTGTATTTGCGTATTTTGAAATGTGAGTACAATCTATTTTTAGTAGCTTGTTAATGAATGTGGCTATTAACTAAAGTGCACCCATTCTTATAAAATAGATGAACGACTATGGATGAACTTGCTTCGTTATTCCGATGTTTCCAGTCCTTCGCCGCCTACAAAAGTTATGTACGCACATATCTCCGTATTCGTGATTTAGATACATTACTATCTATGTGACCATTGTCGTGGAAGTATGTATACAAATGCAACTCTTGTATTTATGTACCAAAGTTTATACATTTGTATACATTATATATGTATACTTTAAGTGTATCATTTTGTATGTTTATACCGATTTGTATGTTTAGACGGATTTGTATGTTTATAAATCCTATTGTACCATTAATCAATTTGTATGTGTATTTGTCCGTTCTCACTCACGTACCTATTACTTTGGCAGGTTCGCCGGAGTTTCATTTTAACGATTCACCTCGATGTGGCGTGTATGGAGTTTGATGTGTGTATTCACTCACATTGTGTTTTAAGTATTTGTATCAAATTGGTTTGGTTTTTCATCGTAAGTATGCTTGTGTTTGTATGTGTTTGTATGTGTTTGTATGTATCTGTAATGTATGTGTTTGTATGTGTTTACCATTTGTCAAAAATTTTTCAGTTTTTTTATCTAAGATTTGTTAGATCATTTTAAATTTAAAGGAATGAATCATAGAGCTAGCTATTATGTAGCATTAGATGCAATTAGAAATTTTTCTCAGTTTCAAAATTTTTTAAATTTTTTAAAAGTTTCAAAAGCGCACCTAGGCAAACAAGAGTCATACAATTTTTCTTTGCATTTTTACATTTTATGTATGTATGTATGTATGTATGTATGTATGTATGTATGTATGTATGTATGTATGTATGTATGTATGTATGTATGTATGTATGTATGTATGTATGTATGTATGTATGTATGTATGTTCATGTGTGTATGTGAATATGTATGTATGTATTATGGGTTGTAATGTTGCTTTGTAGTTGTATTGTTTTTCTTTTTCCATTGTATACGAAGTTTAGATGCCTTTATATATCTTTGATATTTGAATGTTTTTATATATGTCTGATTTTTGTATGT